AATGTTATATGCCGTACTTTGTTTACGCATGGACAGGGAATCGTTAAAAATCAACTCAATCTTGTTTTGGCTTTTGGAATTCAGAGATAAAACATTACAACCTAGTTGCAGGCCGATATCTGCCTGCCATATTCCATTTTTTCCCGTGAAATCCGGTCCGATCCGGTCTGTGTGAAAACAAGCAGACGTGCCAGTCGTGAGCAAGATAAGCTCTCTGAAAGGAGAAGAGGTACCCAAGGGTGTGATTACCGCAGGGCAAAACATGTGAAGTGTCTCTGAACATCACAAGTGCTCAACTGTATGCAGATTGTGAGGGGGATACGTCCTTGTCTCGGTAGCCATCAGCTTGTAAGACTGATTGGAGCTGCACGTCATTTCCACGGCGATAGTCTTACGTTTATTTCCTTAGCTGCTTGTTCCGGCGTGACCCACCAATTTTCAACCCAAAGAAACATTATTTCCTGGGATAAAGACCTGGGATGCACCCTGTACATATCATAGTTAGGATACTGTGCCGTTATCTGCAATTTTGCCACATTCACGTCAACCAAAACTGTACACATCAATACAAGGCTTACAACGAAGACCCAAACATATTTAGTTGTCTATCTAAAGCATGATTTCTCGTTCTTTCAATTTTTTCGCCTTATGAAAAATGATTTCCTGGCGGAGACACAGCCCAGCGTTACCCATAGGGCCTTAGGAACATATGGAAGTCATCAGACTGGATTATGACGACAGACTAAACGCCGAGAGCAGATTAAGTGCGGATATTGGAAGATTAATCTTCATACGTACCGTTAAGCAAGTTTGTAACTGTAACTATGTTTTGGAGTGTAGCACGGTCCGTACCTCTTGTAAGATTTGCGTCGGAATCTTTTCATTTTTACTCACGAGTCCATCGGCTATTGGTGATCCAAAACTCGATATAACAGAAAATCCTCATAAATCTGATCCAAATGTGAGATTACTGGCTGTGCGTGTATGGGCTGAGCCGCACGTAATGGTGTGGGCTTGTCAGGCCAGAAATACACGCACTTGATGCGCGAGGAGCGGGCGCACTCGACTGTGAAGGGTTTTCATGTCGGAAATGTTAGTTATGGTCTGTAGACCTGTGCCATATAGATAGCCTGCACTGCTAATATCACATCTGAAATAATAAATTTGCAACGTTGCGTCAAATTCAAAGTTGATTTGTAGCTGAGTAACAATATCTCTATAATTTGCATGTATCCCACAAAAAATTAAGTCATGAGTGCGCAATCATAACTAAAATGAGAAGATGTAAATATAACACACTGACGTCACGCCACTCACCCGTAGTTGTCCTACAAAGTGCCATCAAATTTCAATCTGCATATTCATGAAATCCCTCCATAGCATAATTTGCCTCGTTTGTTATGTATTTCTACTCGTAAAGTGCATTCAATGCAGTTTTATACGGTTCAACATTATTTACCGCTATGTACTCATGAGCCGTTACAACGTGTACGTGTAGAAAGGACCAAAAAGAGCGAAGGGTTTGCAAGCGAAGGACAGATGAGATAAACAGCCGCCGTTTTAATAATGGCCTCCAGGGACAGATGGGTAGCGTCTCACTCATAGTAATGTTCACACTATTCCGGAAGACTAAAAAGATATAAATGCTCCGCTGAATGCAGAAAACACTCACATAACACTTTGTAGACATCTGTGAAGAGAGCTATCAATGTGTGAACGTTAACTCCCACTGTTGGCTGATATCCAGTTTCTTCAAGTGTGTTGGTGGGAAGACGTGAGGTTCTTGCATACGCGGGCCCGCCGGCTTAACGCCCCGTCCGTAAGGATCAATGCAATGCTCTTATATGATACAGCAAGAGTTCGAAGATCTCATAGCTCCACGGGTACATGTCTTGCTATGCAGATGAGGTTCTAACACATGAACATAATATACGTCCAGTGAAGCTAGGTCTCCCGTCTCCTTTGGCAGAATGGTACTTGAACATTTCCTCATCATTTATGAACATGACGTCAACATTCATATATTATGTTCACCTTTGATTAACATACATACTCGTATGTCACCTTTAGCTAACTATGTCGCAAGTATAAAATTCCCATTATATACTACTAATGAATTAACGTTATATGATATTTCAAATTGCTTATGTAACTAATTAGATAATGTTCGCTAATGTTCCTCTTGCTCTAAGATTACATATTACTTCCTATATTGGAAAGCGCACAAAATACAAAACCCCACATTAATTATGCGGAAACACAGACAGACGAACATGACAGGCAAGCAGACAGACAAGAACAAAAACCGTACCTTCATTTTCACGAAGGTAATAATAAGCAGTACAACACATGAACGGGGGACATATTACTGCATTGCACTGATATATTATCTATGTAGCTACAATGAGGACGAAAGTCATCAAAACACCCCACATATATAGATGTCCCTACATATCATGTACTATTAGCTGAAGCCAGGCCATTTGCTCGGCCCGCCCAACCTATTAATATGGCGATAGCACGGGAGTCTATTTTTGATTATGCATTAGACACATGTCCGTCACATACATTATGAGCCGACACCACTTAACCCCTGAGCTATCCCAGAAGGACAGGTAAATAGCGTAATGACCAGCGTTCGAATTCAACCGTTAAAACACGGTGTCAAGTCTTGTTCCCCACTTATTAGCCATTAACGTAATCAATGCCGCGGAGCCAATAGCAACACGCTGTTATTTTGCATTGGATGTGGTGGGGAGAGAAATATTGAACATTGGGGCTTTTCTCAAGAGGAAATTATCGGTCGTACGGTCTGATACTTTAATGGGCCCTATGACCCTGTTTGAAATGGTCCCATAACAGTCGCTGGAATAATCGATAACTTACCCCGGAGCAGACAATGTATCATCACCGTTTTCTACACGTAATAGGCATGTTGGAGTCAAAAACAAAATATAGGGCAGTATGATCGATACTGATTACTACACTATGTCAAATTTATTATTACTAAGCACGTTATGAATCGAATTTTGACCCGCAGACGGCCTGTTGGAAAGCTCTAGGGAGTGTGATGTTGTACCCCCAACTTACACCGGTTCTTCCCTTGTTCTTCCCTTATCCTGCTATTAAATTTACTGCAAACTCAATACCTTTATGACTCTAATAAAAGTTAATTTGTTGGTTGAATACAGGCGATTTCTAACTCTGTAGTTTATGACTGAGTCTGTGAATAACTGAGGAGATCTAGCTGACGCTATTTGGAGACGTAGACAGTTAATGTTAGTGAAGTCTGCCACATGGGTGAATTTGCTAGTCTTCCAGGTCGTCACCATTGTCTGAAGAACCTGTTACCATCGCCAGCAGACATCACTCCTATTTGCTCAGCTAAATCAAGTTGAC